TCTTATTTTTTTTCTATGATACATATGGCACACTACAATTTCTCATTCTAAGAAAAGAAGAAAAAGGAGGGAAGGGAACTACAATAACTAAAATGCTTTCAGGAAGAATCAAAGAAATTAGCGGAACTAAGTAAAATACATGCTAGAATCCAGCTCATGATAAATATGGATGATACTTTAGGATAACAAGAAATGATCATTAAATAAATTTTAGTCAACTGATTATCCTTACCTGAAAAGATATATACAAAATATCCTGACTGTATTAAATACTTAGATATAAAGCTTTAAAAAAAATATGTAGTGGAAAAAATATACATATATTTAACATTCTTTAATATTAGAGTGAGGAATAATCTTCTAATCATACCAAGCCAGAAAACATTAAAAAGATGACAGATTTGAACACATTTTTTAAAAGTAAAATTTTACATAGCTAAAAGTACCAATAAAACACTAAAAATGAATAACACATTTCACATACGACAAGCAAAAGGATAATGTCATATGTATGGATTGATACAAAATTCTCACAAGACAAAAAGAAAAAGATAACTATCTCAGAAGAAAAATATGCAGAAGACAAAAACAGGCTTTTCATAAATAACAAACAAATGGCCAGTATTAAAAGATACTTCAACTCACCAATAAAGAAATTCAAATAGGACTTTTGTTTTAAACAAATTATATATTACATTGGTAAAATGGTGACAGTGTCTGCACTGGTGAAGGTTCACAGACAGGGGCATTTTTATATGCAATTGATAAAAATTGGGTACAACATTTCCAGAGGGCAAGTTTTATCAATATTTAAAATATATACTACATTATAACTTTATAATGAGAGATATTTCCATTTTGATAATTTTTTAAAAATGGAAATAAAGAAACCCAGTTTTTTATTGACCAAGTTCATCTCTCTGATGCCATGCTCTAAATTGTCAATTTACACCCATGTCAACATCCTGTCTGGCCTTTTCTCCAGTAAACAATGCTCCTACTCCTCCTCTATCTCTGACCAGCCCCTGAGGTAAATACCTCTCCCACCTACTCTCTTCTTTACTCTCTCAATAAACATAACCTTGAGAACTTTGCTTTCAGTCCCGCTTTCTTCTCTCCCAACTCCCAGGATTTAGACCAAGATCCCACTTGCAATTCCAGCCACCAGTCACATGCACACTTTGAATTCTGCTTCTATCCATTCACATTCATGTTTTCTCATTTCTCAGCAATATTGCAAAAAGGAACAGCTCCAAATTTTAAAAGCACCCACAGGGTACTCGATATTCACCATTCCTTACTAGGGTTTTCTTTTGAGTACTAGGCTCGATCATCTAAGAAAGCTGTGGAAAGGACTGGGAGAGAGTTTACCAATAGCCAAGAAGGCAATATGAAGGTTACAGATTATGGGTAAAGTGGAAATTGCATTTCCTGAGAAAGAAAAGACTGATAAGACATAACATGGTTCTCAAAGCATATGAAAGAATGAACATGAATTGATGAGTCCCTTTTCTCCATCTCCAGTTAAAGGCTGAAGAAGCGGGTAACTGGTCTAAGCTTCCGGCTACATAGAGCAATCTCCACTTAACCCACAAACATTCCTAAAGAGTCCAGAAAGGCAAAGCAGACCATTTCCCTGCATTCATTACCATGGCTGGCAAAATCACACTGGCTTTGAAGCCTGACGTTATCTGCCATTTGATAACATCAACTATCTTGGTGAGATGAATGCTGACTGAATTACATTCCAGAAGATAGAAGAATGGCAAATCTTATGTTACATATATTTTACCAACCAAAATACATGAAAACTGCTAGACACATACTAAGATGAGCAGGTTGTTAAGATAAAACTATTTAAGGCATGTTTGGGATTATACATATGGATTGGCAATACAAAGTACCAAAAAGACTAGGCTCCTGAGGTGAGAGTCACCCCACAATGAGAGCCATTATGACCAACAAGGATGGCAGGGATGACTCTCTTTGAAGGTCAAACACCAGTCAGGAGTTTCTAAAATTAGGAAAAATAATAAAAATGACTGCCATTTATTAAGCCCCTCCTTTCTACCAGGAACTGTGCCCCATAGATGTCAATACACTGTCATCTAACTCTCACATCAAACCCCATGAAGAGGTGTTGTTATTCCTATTCTTTATGGCTGCAGATACTGGGGCTCAGAGAGGCACAATCTTATCATAACACAAATAATGAGGTGAAACAAAGATTTGACAGGAGCTCTACCTAACTCCACAGTCCATTGTTTTTCTACTACACGGTTCTGATTTACATGCAGTTTAGCCTAACTCAGAGAGAAGACAGGGTAATCTCAGATTTCCCATTCATAAGTTATCATTTTTGTGAATGTATTAGATGTAATCTTTATCAACACATGACACTAACATCCTTCAGGATTAACCTCCAAATTCGGTTTCCTGAAGTAAAAAACAAAGTAGCCTTTGCAAACAGTTCATATCCGTTTACTATTACAGAGAATTTTTCAGCACTCATATATGTATTAATGAATACATTGATTAAAAAGTCCCAATGAATAATGTACATATTAATGTTCAATCAATCTCTCTTCATTGCACAGTCATTACCTTGGCACCATGAAACCTGTGCTAACATTTATCGAGTACCTACTGCATACAAGGTCACAGTCTGAGCACTGTGCAAGAATACTAAAAGATTAGAATCCATACTCCCTGCCTCCAGGAGCTTGTAATTTTAGTGTCAGAGGCAAGATAAACACGCAAAGGACACTAAAGAACAAAGCTGACATACAAACATGCAAATTAACTAACATAATGCAAACTGAACACTTACGTGCTAAGGAAATAAAGTAAAGAATGTATCTGCCCAGCAAAGTTCTTGGAAGAAGTGTAGTTAGTACATTGTTTAGGTAGACAATAAATAATTGTGAAGATAAGAAACACCAAGACATCCTCAGATAATCAAGAGAGACATATTCTTAGGTTCATTTTTAAACACTATCAAAATTATAATCTAGTAAAAAAGGTAGTTTACTAAGGAAAATAGTAATTAATATAATAAAGCGGTTATAATTTTTAAAACATTCGTATTAACATGGGTATCAAGACTCCTTCCTTTTCTAGTCATCTTCATCTCTAACATCACCGTGGCTCTGTTTTTTTCAACCACAATAGGGAGCTGGCTATACCAAGACAAAAACGAGCATCATGAATACAGCAAACTCCTAAACACATAACAGCTATGCCAACAAAGTCAAGGCCACGCAGGAAAGACAACATAAGGGAAGAAGAGTATCATAATGCTCACTAACATATAAAGGTAAAGTATATTTTCTAAAAACCAGAGATCATGATCGAAGGCACATGTTTCCATACATACAAGGAACTTTCAGGTGGGTAAAGCACATAGACTGTCATGGCTGGTGTTATTATATTCATGATGATTTGTTGTAGGAGTCGTGTTCCTGTTGCTTCAAATTAAATGCAAACACATAGTCCTTCAATCCATATCAGATGCTTTGTTATGCTGCCTGTGTTTTAATCAGAGACAACGGTAATAACCTGAGTCTGCATCAATCTCCTCCTCCATGTGGGGATCCCTCCGTCACTCCGGAAGTATCCCTAGGCAGCTCTGAGATATGGAATCTTCACACAATTTCTTGTCCCTCTTATTTTAATCCATTCAAAACTCCTCTGATAAAAGAGCACCTGCCAGACCTGAGACACCTTAGTCTGTCTTTGGGGAAACAAAATTGATTTTCTTCATTTTCACACAAGAGGATCCCTGAATAACAATATTGTGTCCAGTCATACCAATAAAAAAAAATATATATAGGCAACATTTTTTGCTGTACCAGAGGCTGAACAGTTTTGTAAAGTTCCTAAGTGGAGGAAAAAAATTCAGCCTCTTGCTGTTAGACCACAAGTTTCACAAGTGTAAGAGTAACTTTGACCAAGAGACTAAGTGCTGTGGTGCCTTCCCATCTGCTCCCAATCAGCCACAGTGGGAGATCAGATGGGGTCATGGGTAAGGGTGGGGAAGGCACTGGGTGAGGGGCCAGCCCCATATTCTCCCTGGTTTACACTCACCATATCCCCTCCCTTATCTTCCTGACACACCTGAGCAAACAATCACTTTCTACCTTCAATCTTTTGACTTTAAGGTAAAGAACATCTAAGGGCAATTTCCAGTGAGAAAACTACAACAGAAAAAAACAACAGAACTTCAGGGGCCTTTCATCACCTAAACAAATTCACTAATTTGTATAGGCTTTATAAAATTTCAGAAATTTTAAATGATATATTATACCTAAAGAGAGAAGATGAAATATTAAAACAGTAGCTTTTTGATACTTTTAAAAGACAACCATACCGAGGGCTACAACACATAACAACAATAAAAGCAGAGGTTCTCTGGCTGAAGAGACGGTCTGAGCCTAGAGCCCCACTAGCTAAGCATAATTTGCCCCAAATGCAACCCCACTTTAAACACCTCTTCTGTCAAACCCCATTTGTTAACCACTAACCTAGAGAAAAAACAGATATCCAGAACATGCACACTGGCATTCAAAAATCTCCTCCAGTCCTGGCTATTGCCAGGGAAGACTCCAGAAATATGTCTCATGGTCTTCATAAGAAGAATGCAGCCTCTAACAATAATTATGCTTTCAATGTATCAAAAGGAATATTACCATTCACTGTATAGCACAGAGTTTAAAAAGCATTCCACTTCTCAAATGTTCCCTGTCCCTTCTCATTCATTCACGTGTATACTACATATATATATCATACAAGACATGCTATATAAATAGTTCCACAACACACTGTAAATACTAAGATGCATCATTTTCCATACTTTCTTAAGTTTTTTTTACTTAGGATATGTTTATTAGTTGACATCCTGAAAAACTCTTTTTTCAAGATGAAAAATGCAGTTCTGCTTCTCAAAGTCCAAATCTCCTTATATAAAAATAAAAATCATGTATTAACCACTGAGAACTAACCTGCAGACACGGGCTGGAAAATATAATTTCTGCCAAGAACGACACAGATATTGTGAATGATCTATCACTCTGACCCAATCAAGTTCATCCATTGACACTTCAATGAAGTATGAATAAGACCTGTGAATCAAAAGGAGAAAGCAGAAAAAAAAAAAAAAAAACCGCATTAAAATAACAATACAAAGCTATACTGAATGAATGAGAAGGGACAGGGAACATTTGAGAAGTGGAATGCTTTTTAAACTCTGGGCTACACAGTGAATGGTAATATTCATTGTGATACACTGAAAGCATAGTTATTGTTAGAGGCTGCATTCTTCTTATGAAGGCCATGAGACATAGTTCTGGAGTCTTCCCTGGCAATGGCCAGGACCGGAGGAGATTTCTGAATGCCAGTGTGTATGTTCTGATTATCTGGTTTTTCTCTAGGTTAGCAGTTAACAAATAAAATAAAATGTTAAAAGGTACAAAAAATACAGAGTTCACTAACTACATTTTCTACATAATCAAATTCTAATAACAAGAGAATGTTATAGCTTTCACCTACAAAGCACTGAAATTCTCTCTCAGGTTGTCTGTCTGCCTTCTCAAATCATAAGCTGCTTAAGAACAAAGGCCATACTGTATTTATATTCATATCCCCAGGGTCCCGCACAATGCTTGGCACATCAAGATATTTACTCTTTTTCAAACATGGTCAGGATGCCTCACCTATACCATATTTGAAGACTAATGATGCCATGAGAGACAGAAAGAACAGAAAATAGAGAAGTAGGAGGTATAACTTCTCCCTCTACCTTCCCTGGCCACGGTGTTCAGCCACCCCGCTAAGGAAGAAAGCCAACTTGGAATGGTTCCCCACAGAAGGCAGCTTATCTCCTGCTACCTCCCAGTCTCCTACCCTCCCACACAAACAAGCTACCTGCAAAAAAAAATAAAAAATAAAAAAATAAATGACATCGATCAAGAGATAATGCACGGGTACAACTTAAAACTTGCCAGCTGATAATCTGGCAGTAATGAAAACAGCCTATCATCCTCCACTAGTCAGCTACTCCGAGCCATTACATGCAGGTCCCATCCTGAACAAATCTATATTCCCCTGTCATAAGCCAAATTTAAATTTGAGATGCAGTTATTACTTGTACTGTAATATCAACAGAAACAATCTTGGAAGATTTAGGTAACCATAAATGTCAGCCTGCAACCCACAGTTGTGACCAGAAAAGGTCAGCTTATTTTGTGTCATCCCTTCATTTTCTTTGCTGTCCCCTCACTTCCATTCATTTTATTGCTCAGTCTCAAACTGGTTATAACCTTTTATTGAACCTCTCTGGGTTATCAGTAATGCAGGATATAATTTTACAACATGTCAGAATCTTTTTGGCTTCAGATTCTGAATTTTTCACCTTTGCTTAGAATGATAACAACTTGTGTAAGGAAAGAACACTTAGGTGGTAAAGTTAAATCCCCCATGAATGTAATGCACATACTAAAACAACGTGGCCTGTAAATATTTAACGTCACAGAAACGATGACAACCACTTTGTTTCAAACATACTAAACTTTTAATACTTTTATAATAATTTCACTATTAAATGAGTGAAATATGTAAAGCTTTTAGAACAGTGTCCACCACATAATACGTAATGAAAGTATTGCAATATATGTACTACGATTACGCAGTTATTAATCAGAGACTCTTGGAAATGAAATATGTGGATTGGCTCCATTTTGCCAATTAAAAACATCAAATTATATCCAATAAGATACATATCAGAAAATATATTCTTAATAAAAAGGAAACAGGAAAAGATAACCTGGGGATCTCACACACCCATGCAAATGGGAAATGCTGATTCACACTTCATATCGCTTCCCCTCATACTTGGCTCGAATGGCCCAAAAGGCCAGTGTGGTGGCAGTGGTGCTAACAGAAGAAACACACTACCGTACTGTAAGGTTTTCAGGGCATCACCATGATTACTATTTAGGCCCTTCATGCCCAGATCTAAAGAGGTATATGTGGGACACAGTTTCTGGGTATGCAGGGTTGAGGTTTATGATAAACAGCAATGCAATGAGGAAAACAGTTCAGTCCTTGTCACCCATACTGCTCTGGTAATTTTGCCACTAAGGATGAACCCACAGGCCACAAGGGGTGGAAGCATCACAGTGGCTGGAAGAAAGGCAGAATCCTGAACCCCTGAGAAACTGAGCGGATTCCCAAACTAGAGTTCACTGAATTTTTTCACAAATTTCTTTTGTTTTGAGGATAATACTTACCTATACACTAATACAATGTTTCTCTTCACCATAGGGTAAAATGAACTTAAAAGGTTCTAATAGCCAAAAGTAATGAATCAAGTAAATAACGTTAACTCATGGTAGAATAACAAATAACTATTAAAAATACATTTTAGAGGAATTTTTTTAAAGGGTAGAATGTTTACAATGTATTAATTTAAAAGTAAAATTAGCTTTTTGTATGTCTAATCTTCATTTTATAAAACTACGTGCAGGTTTCTGTTTTGTGTGTATGTCCACGCATAACTGAAAAAAACACTAGGTAGATACATATGAAGATAATGGGTAATGAGATTACTAGCAATTTTTATTTTCTTCTATGTGCTTTTCTATATTTTCTACAGTTTCTAAAATAAACACATTATTTTTACAATAATTTTTAAAAAGCATATTTATTTTAAAGAAATATACTCTTTAACTCTTTTCCCAAAACTAACCTTCGAGAGATAGCAGAATGATCACAAAGAAATAAACCATCATATCTGTAAAACCAAAGTAGATGGCTACAAAGTTAGGTCATCTCAGTCAAACGTAATGTCAGCTTCTCTCTAAATCATGCTAATCACTTACCGGCTATCTCGGTCCCACAGGAGTATCCGTATGTGATTGATAATGGATGGCTGACCTAGCTTAATCTCAATGCCGGAACGGCAATCATCATCAATTGGGTGCCTCGAAAATCCATGATCCAAATCATAATTTTGAGTATCACCATCTAATAAGGCCGATTTCAACTCCCCCTTTACAACCTGGGCTCCATACTTCATAGTCGCAATGTTTTCTTCTGGTACTACAGTTAAAAATAGAAAAAAGCCAGGGTTAGTGACTGTTTATTAAATTATTCTATATTTTTTGAAAAAAGATACAATTTTAGCATTCCAGTTTATTCTAGCATCTGCATTTAAGAACAGCACAGGCAAGTTTATGAGGATAGAAAATACAGAACATCTATGAGGATTAAGACACCATTCAGAGGCCAGGTGCAGTAGCTCAGGCCTGTAATCCCAGAACTTTGGGAGGCCGAGGCAAGTAGATTGCTTGAGCCCGGGAGTTTGAGAGCAGCCTGGGCAACATGGGAAGAACCTGTCCCTATTCGCAACAAAACAAAACAGAACACTGTTCAGAGTTTAAATTTAATATTAGTATTACAACCACAAAGTCCTTGAGACTAATGTTATTTTTCAAAAGTTAATAAAACTAGAAAAGGCGTGTAATAGGACAAATAAATCAGCTCTGCTGAGTTCATTCTATTAGTAACTTTAATATCTACTAAATAAAAAATAGCATGTAAGATGACCTGTGCCTGCCATCTGGACTGAGGACAATGTATAAAAGCAAAGCAAACAGGTCAGATATCTGACAAAACAACAGAAAAAGAAAGGTTTGATATTGCATAGGTGTTAGTCATACATGAATATGCTGAATCAATTAATCTAGCTTATAAAACAAGCTTGTTTAAAGGAAGATATATTTTTTCTTCACTTGAGAATTTTTAAAAATGAAAACTGATAGTCTGTCATGAAAATCAGTATTTTGGTTATTAGTAAATCTCCTCCCTCACCAACTTACATTTATTAAGTACCAACTGTGCCTGGGACTCTGAAGTCCTCTATGTAAATTATGCTTTACAGATCTGGAACCTATCTTCCAGGTACTAACATTCTAAAACTGACACTCTCCATGGAAAGACAAGAGGCTACAGAAAGATGTTAAGAGCTTGAAGAGTCAGAGATTAAACACTGGCTCCACCTTCAGCCAGGTGCATCACTTTGGAGAAGTTTCCTTCTCTCAACTTCCATTTCTCAATAGGGCCATGTCTATCCACCAAGTGTTTCTGTTTAAGAATTAAATGAGATGATGTTTGCAAAGCATATTATGAGCTCTACTCATACATATAAGCTTTTCAAAATATATAGCCATTACTATTAAGAAAACATATTAAAAAGCACATAAGAGAACTATGCAAATTTACAGACTGTAAAAAAAAAGCCAAATTCTCACAGCACACATATATCTTGGCTGCGTGATTTGAATAGGGCAAAGTGTGGGCTATAATCAGGTTCTTGGTAAAAAGATAGTAATTCATCATTGAGATTTCTTGAAATTTTGTTGTTTTTTTTTAAATTTCAAATAAAGATGAGTAGAGAGTGGCACCAGAAGAGGACAACAAGTTGCAGCTGAAAAATGGAAGTTTAAAATGGAAGCAAAAGTCTGTGGCAACCCAGCAAAAATACAGAAAACATCCTAGTAACTTCTTACCATCAGAAGTTTACGTGTTACCGATTTATAACTTTCTAAATTCTATTAGTGTGTGATAATCATCCATATTCTTCCTATTTAACAAATCTTCTATAATACATGATGTGCTAGACACTGTTCTAAGCACTTAGCAAATATTAACTCCTTTGATTTATTCCTCATAATAATCCTTTGAGTACAATACTACTATCACTTCCATTTCACAGATAAGAAGTGGAGGCAGAGAAAAATTAGACAGACTTACTTGCCCCAGGTCACAAAGCCAGCAAGTAGCAGAGCTGAGATTAGAACCCAAGCAGTCTGCCTGCAGGGTCCCTGTTTTTAACAGAATATTCTGCTCCTTCCCTCTTGAAGGGTTTCTGATGGATGGCCATATCTTCCCCCTCCTTCTAATCCCCACTTCCCTCTAAGATTGCCTTAGACCCAGAGGAAAGAAACAAATAGTCTGACAGAGAAAAAAAAATGTTAAAGTGAAAAAACCTAAGCTTAAGATTCAGGCTCTATCATTAACTCCCCTTGAGTAAGGCCTGTTAGTTTCTCTGAATCTGTCTCTCATCTAAAAAGAATACTTTGTCCAACCAACCTCATAAGGGTACCATAAAAATCACACTACAGATAAAAATTACACTACAGATAATATATGCTAAAGTAACATAAAGCATTCATTCAGTCAAAAAGCATTTTTCTGAGGACTCATTCTGTACCAGTACCATGTGCAAGGTATTGGGAGTAATTAGTGAACTCCAGAGAGATAGGCCCTGCCCTCCTGACACCTCCAATCTAGAGATGAAGCACTTTATAAGCAAGCAGGCAAACAAAAGCTTCAAATCCACGCTTTTCAGAAATCAGTGATACATAACTACTTGGTAAAAATAAACATGTTTTCCCTTCTTGCTAGGTATAAAATGTGGAGGTGCAAAGTCTGTTGCTGCTGATCCCTAGAACCATCTCCTGCAGTCCTGACACCACAAGTCAAAACTAAGCCAAAGGTTGGTCACCGTGGCTCACACCTGTAATCTCAGCACTTTGGGAGGCTGAGGCAGGCGGATCACCTGAGGTCAGAAGTTTGACACCAACCTGACCAACACGGTGAAACCCTGTCTCTACTAAAAATACAAAATTAGCCGGGTGTGGTGGCATGAGCCTGCAATCCTGCTACTTGGGAGGGTGAGACAGGAGAATCACTTGAACCTGGGTGGCAGAGGTTGCAATGAGCTGAGATTGTGCCACTGCACTCCAGCATGGGCGACAGAGCCGAGACTCCATCTCAAAATAAAAAATAAAAAAACTAAGCCCAAGACAGGAACAAGCTCTCAGATTTAGAAACTAATGCCACCTAATATGCCACCTCTGGATTTTCTCTAAACATAAGCTTCTTCAACACTAAAACTTATCAAGCTAAAGATAACATACCAGGCACAAGAGTTTCAAGTGACTGTGACTAAAGTCTAAAATGGAAATGAAATTTCTACCACAAGTCTAAGTCTTCTTTTGAAGTTTATTTCAAGGGTACTTGAAAACTTTCCTAACCACTCTTGATACAGATTCATTCCTGAGAATATTTTTCACTTCAAAACAGAGAACATCTACACAAGTGGAAATTCTCTCATGGTAACAATAATGTGAGTATCTCACAGGATAAAAATATAACTCCAAGAATTTTTCTGCAAAATCTATAATTAAGTGATGAATTTAATAGGAAGAATGATCATGAGAAAATTCAAATCATAATAAAATAAATCAAACCATAAATATTCTTAGTGCCTATATCTGTCTATCAGTTGAGAAAAAAGCTCTTGAAAAAATACAAAGTGCTGGCCAGGCATGGTAGCTCACGCCTGTAATCCCAGCAATTTGGGAGGCCAAGGCAGGTGGATCACTTGAGTACAGGAGTTTGAGACCATCCTGGCAAACATGGCAAAACCTCATCTCTACTAAAAATATAAAAAATTAGCTGAGCGTGGTGCTACATGCCTGTAATCCCAGCCACCTGGGTGGCTGAGGCATGAGAATCACTTGAACCTAGGAGGTGGAGGTTGCAATGAGCCAAGATTGTGCCACTGCTCTCCAGCCTGGGCGACAGAGTAAGACTCTCTCAAAAAAACAAGGTGGTAGAGAATAAACAACATAGTAGATAATCATAATGTTTTACACATAATTTTAATGCATTTTACAAGCATCAAGAAAAATATTAACGCTTTGAAGTTCTACAGCTAGTTAGAAATTAGCTAATTACTAGAAAGAAAAATAAAGAGAAATGAAGCAGGACCTACCCCTAGCTATACAGTGCCAAGATCTGAGAAGAGTGCTGGGTTAATTACATTGTGCTTTTCTTTCATTGCTTTATGTTCTTAATTATCTTTGATCGAACTCTCTATTACATGTAGGTTGACATGGTCATTCGCCCCAGTGGAATATCTGGATCCAGACTTAGTTTTCTGCCCAATGCAATCTACTAACCCAATTCTCTCACCTAAATAATTTTCTACTCCCCATCCCAACTTCCCCAGGAAATGGATGGATGCTCCCTTCCTATGAATAATCCCCAAGAACTGCAGCATTACAAATGACTTTCCTGACAATTCCTGTCTTACCTTAACTTTATCTCCCCTTTTTCCCACTCTCTGCAGGCCTCCTTTCCACATTGGACAGTACTGGTACTCAAACACTCCACAAAATCAAAATAAAAAGTTACCCAGGCAGAAGAATCTGGAGTCGGAAGACCATTTGCCTGGTGAGTCAGAAGACCAGCACTTTGCTTCCTATTCTGGCACTGAATTCACTTGGTAATTTAAGCAAGTTACTTAGAACACAGGCCTGAAAGGGACCTTAATCCTATTAAAGAAAAAAAAAATCCTAACGTGCTTCCTATGTGCTGCTCTCTGTACTAGACTAAGCCCTCCGTAGCTCACCATCTCAGGAGACAAGAGCACATACACAGATGCTACATACTCCCATGGAGGAATGCTCATTAGAGATCATTTATTACACCCCCTATTTACAGATGAGATTTTCTCTGTCACAATAAACCAGAGTTGGGAAGATACAAATAGTATCTTCTATCTTTGAAGATACAAAGTCAACGAGTTTTGTTCATATTTTTTTAGAGACAGGGTCTTGCTCTGTCACCTAGGCTGCAGTGCACTGGCACAATTATAGCTCATTGCAGTCTCAAACTACTGGGCTCATGCAATTCTTCTGTCTCAGCTTCCCGAGCAGCTGGGACTACAGGCACGGTCCATCACACCCAGCTAATTAAAAAAAAAATTTTTTTTAGAGACTGCATCTCACTATATTGCCCAGGCTGATCTCCAACCCCTTGCCTCAAGTGGTCCACCTGCCTTGTCCTCCTAAAGTGCTGGCATTACAGGTGTGTGTCACTGCACCCAGCTCAAAGAGTTTTGAAGGTATTATAGGTTTACTGCTGTATTACTGTCTTTATGTGATAGATGAGACAATTTTAAATTCTAGTTTAGAAGCAAGGGATGGATTCATTCAGCCACTCATTTATCACTTAAAAAAAATGTCTAG